TTACTTTGAAATCAAGGGAAAAATTCAACACCATTAACTATAAGTTCAAGCAGCAAGAGCCAAACGGAAGGCGCTCAAACAAGGTCAGTTTTGAGAGTTAGGTCTGGGTTTCTTTTGTCATCAGTAGAGGAGAGGACCCCATGGGGAGGCGTCGTGCGTGCTAGCACGTGCAGTTTTGCTACTGGGGCTGAAATATCGAAGGTCACAGCAGCCTCTGAAACCAGTCCGAAATCTGTGCCAGAACTAAGCGGCATCCAACATTTGTCACAGTCGTGCTCGCCGCCACTGACCCCAATCTCCTGAACTGCGGGTTGACAGCAACAGCCGATGCCACTAGCTGTGACGGTGAACACGGATGTGACAAATGTTGGATCCCGCTTGGTTCCGGCGCAGATTTCGGACCCCAACCTCCTGAGTCGCAGTAGCTAGTGCCACTAGACACAACTAACAAAACCTCCATTCAGGGGTTTTCGGCCCGTGGCGGTGAACACAGCTGTGACAGCTGTTGGATGCCGATTGTTTCCGGCGCAGATTTGTTCAGAGGCTGCTACGACCTTCAATATTTCAGCTCCAGTAGCAAACCCGAACGTGCCAGGACGCTCGACGCCTCTTCATGGTGTCATCTACTGATGACAGTAGAAACCTAAAGCTAACTAACCATAGGTTGTTTTCTTTCTATAGTTTGGATCCAAATATGAGAAAAGGGCCAGCGTTAAAACCCTTGTCTTCAGACCCTTAATTCGCTATCTCGCGTTCGTTCATCACAATAATTTGCCGCTGCCGTACGAACGCCGTCCAGGGAGATACACGCCCGTCCACACCGTCCTCGATCGAATCACCAGGCAGGTTCATGGAAGCCAACCTGTTTGCAACGTAGAAAATACTTTGAAGACGGAGAACTGAAGGTGGCCAGTCTGTCGATTCAATAGGAGGTTACGGTTATTTTTTCTTACATACGTTTGGCTTCTTCATCTTTGACGCAGGTCATGAAGCCGCGATGGGAGCTGGGCGTGTTGCTCACCGTTGCTTTCTTCAGCAGCGCGCAGGCAATTACTTCATCCGGTAAGCACGTACGCTACAAATGAGGTCACCCATTTTGTTACACCTTATTTTTCCATCACGGAGGTCGCAGCGGCTTCTCCAATCGAACGCCCGTGCCTGTTTTCTGTCTTCAAATTTCGGGCAGGCCTCTCTCGCTGAAATTACCCAGTTGTTCGTATTTCTACAACGAATTCCTCATGTTGGTTGTCATTCTCTGGGAAACTATGGTTCCAGTGTTCAGCTTAACATTCATCCGTCTCTTATACCAAGTGATCATTCCACAAGCCCGTCTTCCCTTGTCCAGCCTAGCGAATAATACTCGCTGCTGCAATAGCGCATCGTCAAGGGCGGCGACCGCGCACGTCTGGGTGCGACATTCGTCCCGGACCTTTCCGTGAATGTAGTCGTTCGTTCTATGTTATCGTCTTCGTCCCGAAGGCCGAAGTCTTCGCTCAAGCCGTGGCCAATGCCTGGCTGCATGGTGGGGCAACGCCATCACAAAATAGGTATCCATCACCATGAGCTACTATTAAGTTCTTGAATGCAATAACAACATTAACAACCAACAACACCTTGGGAAAGGTATGAGTCTGGTAAGGGCCGAGCTTACCGTCATCGCCTTCGCCGCCGGAGTCTTCGTCCTCGATGCCCTCCCCGTTGCTGTCCCGACAAAACGCTGTTGGTCATGCTCTCCGCACTGGTCCATCTTGGTCAAAGAGGCCTCATATCCCTTCCCGTTCATGACCCTCGCCAGGTTCTTGTGTCGGCCGCCGCAGGCCTATGGGACCTCATTCCCCTAGCCCAAATATTTTCAGCCGAGCCGCTGTTGTGCACCCCGTTTGTGGGTGCATGCTCAAGCTGGCGCCCTTCAACTAATCGTCGGCTCTCTCGGCAGAAGTTAACGATGGGCAACGAATAATAGCCAAATTCGAGTTGATGGGACAAGCAACCGACACAGTAGGTTGGGGTGGAGACCACCAATGAAGATGTTGTGTGTTCCACGTAATTTTCACGAGCATGGGGGAGAAACAGTCATAAGTGCGGTTAAGCGCATGTTACGTTAACCGGCAACAAATGGCGTGGGTGGGAATTAAGTCAAGCAGGGTGGCCATGCTCCGGGGTTCCAAGAAAAGCACTAGTGAGCCAAGGATAGCGCGATGGACGATGCTGTACTCAACTTCGAAGTCACCGAGACGACAACGACAAAGAAGTACGTGCACCGCGAAACCCCCAACGCCTGAACCACAACCCCCACCTCCCGGTGCTCCGCGGCATTCTTGTGTTATGCAGATTGCTCCACTTCGTTCATCAGTGATGGATGGTGCGACTCATGTGAGTATTCATGGTCGATGTATTCCTTACGAACGATGCCGTCCGATTAACAGACGGTGTTGTGGGGTGTTGCTTTGTGTTTTACCCGCGAGGTGTTCACAGCATTTTGCGTGTGTGCAGGAATACGCTTGGTTGATGGTACGTCGAATTGACTCGGCCGTTGTGTGCACCTACATGCTGGAGGCGTTCCACGGTGAACGTGAGATCTTGGAGCCCTGCATGTCCTAGAATGGAAAATTGATCGAGGAGCTCCTGATTCAGTTGCGTCGTATACCATCGAGGTTTGAGTCGTGGTGGATATTGGATGTGTAGCGGGTTCACTTACTATTAATAGGAACTTTGTTTGAAACGCGTACTGTGTATGTATGCAGATTCTGGATCTCCTTCCCCGGAAGTCATACCGCGTGGCCAACACATTAGATCGCATCCCCCGTTGTGAAGCACGGTACAACACAACATTTCGTTTCATGGATCGCAGCTGACACCGTGAAACCAGCAATTCTCGCAATGTTCTCCTGCAGGGCGCCATGTTTCAACGTACGAAGTGCTAAAGGGTAGAATGTCTGGAGGAAAAAATGCTCTCAATGCCCGACCTGAGGAAAAGGAGACCGAATGCCCAACTCTCTCTGCCTGTCTTCTAGTGCTCCGTGCTGCTCCTACAGCCCCATTGACAACATAGTACATAGGAAACCCTTGGTGGTTGAGGCGCATAGCAATGCTGCCTGCGATAAGAATGACGGGAACATGGCATGGCTTTAGTAAGCGAGCAACCTCCCCTGCATTTCCGTCTTGTTTCATTCATGCCTTGGAATTTCGCAGCGAACAACAACTCCGACTGCGACTATGATGGCGGCGACTGTGAGTGAACGTCTGGCGAGAGCTGGGCCGCCCATGTGCATGCCCTGAATATGGTTCTCCTGGAATAGCGAGCCACGGTCTTCGTTGTTGTGCTGTGGTGACTGGTTGCAGGGTTGCGAAATGATACGGCTCAGCGATTTGTTGGATGCCCTCGTCAATATTTCGTCGTGTCCTATATTCAACATGAAAGTTGATCCATGGGTACCCGTTCTCAAGTAGCAGCCGCATTTGTCAACATGAAGGATGCCATGATTGTTTCGGGCAAACGGCCTCTTTTACGCCCGACCACTCTGGGGTCGGCTTCTGTTCCGACTTCCCATCGATTGCGTCGTGAATGATTCTGTAGAGATGGTGGTTTCTTTTTCTGTGGTCATCGTGATCCCTGAACAAAAATGCCAGGTGTGCTTACCGGAGGTTGGTCGTCTTTTCCCTCATGTTGCAAGATATCTTGATAACGTCCATTGAGCACTAAGTTCGCGTGCTTGCTGTCCCCGGCCATCTTGTTTCCCGCGCTGTTACTGAAACTCGAGGCTGCATTTGCGACTGCTTCAACGACACCTACGAGTGCGGTGTTGTGGGCTTCACCTGCATCGATCCTACATCGTCCTGCTACTGTAAGCGGAAGTAAATAAGAAAATTAACATCCGATTGACGTCTACCTTCGTTTCGTGCTCGATAGCTGGAATGGGACGCAGCCGCAGCTGTCAGTCAGGCCCAGATGTTGTCGTCGTCGATCAGTCCCATGTCTCAAGACGTTTGCACCCAATAGACAGAAGATTGATATTTGCTAGCGGTCGACGGAACTACTACATAGTATACGTGTGCGTGGGGGTGAATATTTGGTGCTGATACTTGTTCCAGTGGTACGTCTCGACCTACTTGGCAACCCGATTTCACCCACACATACCCCTGCGGTAGTCGTGGGGGATTCCGAGTGGCTGCCCTCGTTTTTTTCCTATCCCACGGTCAAAGGCGTCCTCTTCTTTTGTGGTTTCACAGTCCAGTAGAGAGTCTTGTTCCGTTGCGCTACTGTACTACTGTGGTAGTAGTCCATCTTGGCTGTCACCGGCTTCACCTCCATCGATCCTACATCCTGTGTCTGTGAACCGATTGAAATGCGCACCCGATCGAAGGCAGTGTTCGATACGTGGAAGAGGATGCAGGGTTAGCTGTCGGGTACACCCAAGCAGTTTCGTCGCGTGGCCCAGCCCTATGCTCAACACTGTTGTGCTCAGTAGAAAGATCTGAGATAGATGCGAGTTAGCCGTCTATAGAGTACTACACTGTCGACACGCATGTGAACGGTGGGTACTTGACAACGGTATTTCTTCGGGCGGTACGTCTCGGCACTCTCGGCCATTCTTTCACCCACGATTACGCTGCTAGAGTAATGCTTGTTTTTCGAGTATTCGCGATGCTGTTTTGTTTGCAGAGGACAAACAATCTACGCAGATGCAGATATGGGCAGCGCTTGGTTTTCTTTTCGATGGGACGCGTAATCTGCCTCCGTTCCGTTTTCCCGCGACATCCTTCTCCCCCTTTCCCGTGTTCCTTTGCATTGATGCAACTGTCCCCGTTCCCCGGACAAACCTTGCTTGACTATCCACACAACTGTTCTCAGATCACCATTACTACGACGACGACGACGAACAACAGGCCACCTATTCCCCTAGCCCTGTCCACACTGTCACGTATAGCCCAACGGCCTACCCCGTCTACGACTACGATGACGACGACGAACACGAGGACCACGACGACGACGACGACAGCCCAACCTACTACGACGGGTTCCTTGATGAAGACGACGACGCCGGGTTTTTCGATAGCTCCGACGCCTCTGAAGACGATAACGACAGGGCCACCTCTGACGATGGTAAAGGGAGTTCAGAGTGCGATTGCCCGTTCAGCGCGTGAGTAGAACTTGTCTTGGCATCTACCTATCTCCACACCATCTGCTACGTAGTTTACGACGTCCGAACTGTTCCCGAAGGGCGGGGGGGGCGGGTGAAACGGGGAAAATGGCACCCTGGAAGGCAAACGTGAGGGAGGGAAATCAAACCATCGGAACTATGAGAAACCCAAATTATGAGAAACCCATATTCTGCGTATTGTAGCCTGTGATATACTTTAGAGACTCCCACGGGATGCAGAGATCTCACGCCATTTTCTCGCCTTCGCGGCGGTCGGTCTCTGACATTCATCTGAATATCTGGTCCAATCGAGGGGGATGGAGTCAGTATGTTCGTAGTGTATGTGTTGTGATTGTTCTGGACGGCAATGTTTAGGCACTCACCGTTCGGGACTTGCTTGGTGGGCGCATTCGCCGGGGCCACGGCGGAGGAAAGCCACACACACTCGAACTGAATTTTCTTCCATGATTTCTTCTGAGGTGCATGCTTTCAGTGTATCGCGAGCAGCCTGAAGCCAAATTCTCCCCCTAGTCCATTATGCCATTGGAGCTCTGTAACACACAAACTCGAGAATATATTTGACCCCTACCTCCCGCATCTATTGGGCAAAGTCGAAAATGATAACAATGTCAGTTCGTGTGACGTCGCCGAGATTTGAGGTTCGCGTCCGAACGCCGAAACCTTCTAATCGTGCATTGTCGCATCCGCGCGTGTGTCCACATGCAATCATTCCCCGCCTTCGCGTGCACAACCGCAACCTTGGTCTCTGGCGGAACTCTGTCAATGGCGATACCTACCCTGCCATCACATCCGTGATGCCACCGATGTCGATGTTCGGCGATGATGAAGGTAAGCTTCTCTTTCCGTTCTCAGCGTTCGTGGAAGTGCGGGAACGACGCTTGTCAATGGTGTACTTGTATTTCGTTTTCGACTGGCAAATTGACCTCCGATGTCATCGACAATTCTCTTGAGGTTTTCAGCCTGGTTCCTTTCTCCTGAAATTGCTTGTGGTTCCGGTTACTCGCTGGGGATAGCCGGGCTGCTACTTACAGAAACGACCCAACCTCAAAAAATTCCCCGATGGTCGTTTTTTCTTCATGCAACGCACCGACTAGGCTGACAGAAGTGCATGTTGTCGGAGAATACGGAACAAAATGATGAGCGTGTTGTTTCACTTTTGATGTCTAAAAAATTAGGGTTATCACGGGTCGCTCCAGGGGCGACGGGAAGGGCGCCTTTGTTTCTTTCCATTCCATTTATTCTGGACGTCGGTGTTTACAAATTTCGGTGCAGTTCTGAACGCACCAGGCGGGGTTGAACAAGAAGGCCACGTAGAAGTCGTTTGTTCTGGCTTCCTTCTACGGTGGTTTCCTTGGTGTTGATCGCGATAGAAATTAAGCCGTTGCTTCCCTTGTCCGCTGTGCAGTAAAATTTTGTTTGGGCACGTTGTGCGTAACAAACCCCAGTTCGTGTGACAGCACCGAGGTTCAAACCCACACCAAACGGCAGAAGAGAGGGAGGTCGCCTGCTGAACCTCCAATGTTGTGTGACACAGATTTTCCCAGGAAATTGTGTGTTGCTATCGCTGGGTTTTTCCTGCTGTGCTGTTCCCTAGAGAATCGGCAGTGAGGCTATGTGTGTTTGTTTGTTCCTCCCTCGCTGCCTGTGGAACACCGGACGAACAATGCATGTTGTGTCAAACTCGTTACGAAGCGAGGTGATACCCAGCCACATCTAGGCGCGGTACTTAGACTCTTCTACTGCCAGTGGCCCCTCTCTCCCCTCTCACCATGTAACCCAACAAGACTGTCCACCCTTGGTCGTGTACCCTTTGCATCACAACCGTGCAGCTCCAGTGGGCGCTATCGTCGGTGGAGCAGTCGGGGGGACGGCTTTTTTGGCGGCTGCCGCCGTATTGGGGTGCTTGTTCGTCACGGGTCGCCTCAAGTGCTCCAAGTGCAGCAGCTCCTCAGACCCTCCAGCAGCTCCTACCCCTGCTGGTGACGGTACTACCCGAGCGGCGACCAAGGCATACCCTGCGCCTGTGGCTGCTGGTGGTGGTGCTCCTGCTGGTCCGCGTAGTGATTTTTCTCCTCCTCCTTCTTTTGCTGGTGACGGTTCTGCAGGAACGGCGACCAGGACATACCCTGCGCCTGTGGCCTCGGCTGCCGGGGCTCCTGCCGGCTCGCGTCACGATCTTCCTCCTCCTCCTGCATCGTTAGCCCCTGCTGGTGACCGCTCAGCCCAAATGGCGACCGAGACAGTTCCTGAGCCTACGGCCTCTGCTGCTGCTCCTGCCGCTCCCGCTGGTGATCTTCTTCCTCCTCCTGCATATGGTAGTTATGATCACGACGCGACGACCCCTGCAGCCCTTCCGCCACCTTATGGCCATCCGGTCAACCAGTATCCCCAACCGATATGAGTTTTCGCTCGGGTTTCTCTACGGGATTACACCAAAGATGTACTTTGATTTGATTGGCAGGCCGCTGACAGCAGGGGGAGGCGTGGGATGACAACGGGGCGCGTCGCTTGTGGGGGGGCTCTGGTTGGCCAGCAGAGGTATTCCATACTCTCTGGGGTGTACGTATGTTTGAAGAGTGTCGTCTACGACGGGTGTGGAAACTGCAAATACAGTTTTTGGATCCTGGTCGGATGCATAGTGTAAGTAAGCACCTTTTGGCCTACCTGTCAGCCGGTGTCCTACATGGTAATCGTTCCGGCTGTCCGGGCTGAGAACGTCAGTTATGTCAATTTTGCCTCGTGTTTGTGTTATTTTCCTTTCGTGTTCGCCTCCTTTGCACGAGGAGTTAGGGTCGTGGCGCCGAGCATACATGCATGCGTAGGTCGAAGTGCTCCCCATCCTTGGTCAATACCCGATCTTCGGTCCGCGCTTTGTATTTTTTTCAGAAACCATGTGTTTTTCCCTTTCACAAGGCACGGGCTATGTGCAGTTGTTGCCGCATAGGCCAGTAAAATGTACTATCTTCCAGGTTTAATTTACTGCTTTTTGATTTTATTTTCTCGGTCGCAACGCACGTGCACTTGTTACACATCAAGATGTGTGGTTGGTTTCTTGAGAAAAGAGACGTATTTGTGCTGAGGTACAAGTAGGGTAATGTAAACACCATGAGCCAGCCCATGACGGATTCACGATTATATCCTGGACTGCCATCGGCGGATCGAGTTGAATCTGCATCGGTTCTTACGAAATATCGAAAATAGCCTGAGTGTCCAGGGCGTGCTCTGTACAACCGGCTTCTGCCTTTTCGCTGTTCTGTGTACATGTAGTGCATTTGTAGCGTTTTGGCGTAAACCCTGGACGTGTCAGATACCCTTTTTTGTTGTACCCGTGGAGAGCCAGGGATTCGAGAATGGAGCAGTCCCCCAAGAATACGGTCGGTTTCCTGGTACAAGACCAGCCTGTGTACTGGATTTGGAAGCATTCCATCTTCGATTTTCTGGGTTTCGCTGCTCTTGAGCAGCACTGCAAATATTCTCATAGTAGCGTCTTTTGAGAGACCCAGCGTAAAACTTGAAGTCATTTGCATTCCTCACTCCTGCCTCATCTCGGGTTGGTTGGCTCGTGCCAACGCCATCTTAGACCTTCACCTAGAAGAGCCAACAACACTTGGGTGTTTGCGTGACTAGATACATATGCTTCCATAGGCGCCTGTCCGGCTCCATGTGGGGCTTCGTGACATGACGACGCCAAAGCCGCTCGCTGTTTGCGGAGTGTCACCTTTTGTTCTGATCATGTACCAGTAGAGACGAGAGAGGACCGCCGGTGCGCGCCGAGCACCCCAGGATATGGACGAAGCCAAATACTCATTCGACATCGTCTTCAACTTTGCTTACAACAAAGAACATGCGCAATTCCCACCGCGACGCGGACAGACGAAGGGTTCAACGGAATATGCATATGACAACAGGAACCTTCCGGAGGTATTCCGGGTTCAGCAAAAATATCCAGAGAACACCCGAAGATACCTACGCGTCCGAGCTGTACCGATTGCGCCGCATCATTTTCCCGCATTTTCGATGTGGGTCTACAGTGTAGTACTGCTGTGTTGTTGTTGTTGTTGTCTTCACATTAAAAACCGTTCCGATCTCTCTCTACCCAGTACCTTCGTATGTCTACTGCTCTGTGTATCACAACCTGGTTTTTGATACCCACATTAAAAACCGTTCCGATCTCTCTCTACCCAGTACCTTCGTATGTCTACTGCTCTGTGTATCACAACCTAGTTTTTGGTACCTCCCCTTTGCTGCCGATGCAGCTGCTGCCCTAGCTTCTGTCGTTGCGGCTGCTGTAGCCGCTTCCAATGCCACTTCTGTCGTAGCAACGCTGCTGCTGCTGTTGCTGCATGCAGTCTCTGCCGCCATGGAGCCCACACCGCTGCTGCCAGAAGTTGAAGTTGTCCGCACGAAAGCGGAAGTAGCCTCTTTCGAGCGTCTTGGCCCATATCATTTTCCGGGATATTTCTCTCGCTTCTCTTCCGATGATGATGTGGTAATATATACTATAAAATCAAACGGAGGTCTGATGAGCAGCTGGTCTGGAGGTCTGCTCTGTACCGGTAGTTGTTATGATTCATATGGGTTCCACTGGCAACGAGGGGCTCTCCAGTGGCTTCCCTGCAACCCTCCACCTCCTGATCGTCCAGCGACGCGCATCGAGATCCAGCCAAGATACAACAGAGCATCTCACCCAAGAACCGTTGCAAAACCGTTGACAATAGCCTGAAGTCGGTGGTGTTGTAGAGGAGGGGCTGGAGAAGGAGTGCGTGTTCGGGAAAAATTCAACCGACGGAGGCGGAACGAAAGGTAGTTGGTTTTCAAGTCTTGGGAGTACAGTGCTTGTGGGGACACCCCCTCAATGATTCTGCGACAAGTCCGCGACATTTGACCTTGGGCGAACATGGCGAATTAACACACGACACACCAGAACCAAAGGACACATAAATACCATGCGTCAAAATGTCATCAATCCAAGCATACTCAAGCCGGCAACATAAATATACCGGAGAGGGGCTGCCGATG